CTCCATGTGCCTTAGCATAGCTTCTAGGTGGATCTGTTCCATGATCTTCCCAGGCACAGAGGTGAGGCTGACAGGTCAGGAGTTCCCAGGGTCCTCCTTTCTATCCCTTTTCAAAAATGGGCACAACGTTTCCCTTTTTCCAGTCACCAGGGTCTTAGCCTGACTGCCATGACTTTTCAAATAGGATGGAGAATGGCTTAGCAACTACATCAGCCAATTCCCTCAGGGCTCTGGGATGCATCTCATCAGGTCCCATAGATTTATGTATGTTCAGGTTCCTCAGGTGGCCATGAACCTGATTTTCCCTTACAGTGGGAGGGGCTTTACCTCCCTGGTCCCCATATGGTGGTCCACGAGCTTGGGAGGGGTGAGGGGAGAAGTTGCCACGGAAGACTGAGGCAAAAAACATGTTCAGTACCTCAGCCTTCTCCTTGTTTTTTTATACTAGGTTGCCATTCTTGTTCATCAGCGGGGTACACTTTCTTTAACCTTCCTCTTCTGGTTGACATACCTGTAGAAGTCCTGCTTGTTAGGAGGCTTTTTGCATAGGAGGCTTTCGCCATCCCAGTGACAAGTGCAACAGAGCTATTTACTTTAGTACTAGCTATCTTTTATGTTCTCCACTGATATGGTCTCATCCACCCCTGAAATATTCCTCAGCTGCCACTTTTGCATTCAGTATCTTGATGGAGGCTCTGTTTTTTCGATAAAAACAAGAAATGTGATGGTGAATGTGTGGGTGTGTGGCAAGAATTAAAAAAATTAAGTAAGTAAATTTGACTAAATTGAAGCTGCAATCATTTATTATTATTTGAATAGTACCTGGAGAAGCAGAGAAACAAATTACTTACTACGTCTCCAGGGTGTACAAAACCAGCTAACTGGATAAAGTTGAAAAAAAGATCATTTAGGGTTTCAGGAAAAATGTCCCAATGAAGATCTATTAGTCTGTGCCAATGGAAAGAGAACTGTCACCTGAGGCATTTTAAAGCTAGTTTGGACTAAGTCCTAAAAAAATAAATTATATAGAACAATCTTAAGGAATAGACTACTATTTTGCAATTACTGGAACTTTTGTGTTTTATAATTTCATTGACTGCTTGGTATAGAAATGGTTGGAACTCCATCCATTAATGCAAAAGTCCAGTGGAGTTTCATCAGTCTCTCAACACTCTGGGGTTCCAGGCATCTTGAAACAAACCATAGAATAGTAGAATCACAAAATCGTGGAATGGTAAGGATTGGAAGGGACCTTAAAGATCATCTTGTTTCAAACCCCCTGCCATGAGCAGGGACATCTTCCACTAGATCAGATTGCTCAAAGCTCCGTCCAACCTGACCTTGAACACTTCCAATGACAGGGCATCTGCAAATTCTATGGGCAACCTGTTAGAGTGTCTCACCACCGTCATTCTAAATAATTTCTTCCTTATATCGAATCTAAATCTACTCTCCTTCCATTTACAACCATTATGCCTTGTCTTATCACTACATTTAAAGAACAGTGCAATCATCAGGCACAGTCAATGTGAGTTCATAAAGGGAAGTCCTGTTTCACTAATTTAATATCCATCTATGATAAGGTCACCCACCTAGTGGATGAAGGGAAGGTGGTAGATGTAGCTTTTCTCAGTTTTAGTAAGGCTT